GTCAGTCGTCTGACACTTCATTGGCAGATGACTCAGCTCCTCTGACACTTCCTGTGATGTAATATCCTGTCACAACAGCAGCAGCAGCAGCAGCAATAGCAGCGGTTTTAGGGGTCCAAGCACTTAGTGCTGGAACCGTATTGGAATAGATTTGTCTTATTTTGTTTTATAACATTTCCACTGAAACTGTACTTTTGATGACTTTGGGAAGATTTTTGTAATTGTTTAATTTTGAGTGTTTTCTTGTTTTATTGCTGCATCGTTAGTCATTTCCTTAACCATTTCACACAAACTCCGCTCCTTAAATTTTTACCCCGAAGACATGGAAAAAGGCACTAATGAGGACGAACCCCATTCTGGAGTGGACTAATGCAGCACATCCTGTCCGTTAACTCCAGCTATCCTTAGTTACTAGTTTTTTAGTACGGCTAACTTTCCTCTGCTGCTCAGGCACCATCCAAAACAGCGGGGGAAGATGCTGCGACTTGAGTTCTGCCCCGAGTTTGAAAAGAGTTGGCACTTTTTAATGTAACTGAGTCTGACAACCTACAAATTCATGCCTACATGCTGCACTGCTGCTTGGCTAACAGCTCACTAACTAGCATCGTCTCTGTCCTGTAATGTCCTCCCTGTTGCATCTGAGATTTGTTTCATTAGTTGTTTTGTCCTTCAAAGTTTCGCATCTGTTGTTTTGGCATTGGAGGGCCTGGATTGATGCATATGTGAAGAAAGATGATTATCCTTGGTAGAGTAGCGAGATTGAGAATATCGATGTGATCAATGACTCTGAGTCTGTATATTTAAGGGAAGGGTGTGGGTTAGGGCTGGGGGGGGGAGGGGGGCGAAACCCATCATGTTACTCACAAAACTAAAATAAACAGATTTGATGAAAGGCGAATGTCTATGGGTGTTGTGTGCCGTTTTGTTGCGGAATTTTTAGAGTACTGTGTTGAAAACCTTGTATCTCCATTTTTGTCGTTTTTCAGTTTTTTAGATAATCTGAAAACGCCTGTTGCTCTTTACATTGTGTGTAAATTTCATGATGAATGGACTAAAAGAAACGGCCAAAAATGACTTAGAAAAACGTCTGGTTCCATTGACTTACATTAAAAGTAAAGTAGGTTTTTTCTTTCTCCTGTAAAGTTACCATTTTGGAGATACAAGGTTTTCATCCGACAGCAGCAAATTGCTAAGGATCCCTGGAGTGAGGAGAATCTCTCAAACATCACTTTCTTTGATGAATATAGCCAATTTTTAAATTCTGTTTCTTTCCAATATGTATGATATGATCTTATATCTACCAGTTTGCATTTGTTCTTGGGTTTAAACTGTTGACCTTAAGCATTTTTCCTGCTTTTTTGTTGGAGTAAAGCAACTTCTGATCAGAGTCATGAAGAAAAGTTGGAAGGTTTTGGTCTTTTAAAATTTTGACTGTTTTGCTCCTATGCATTTTCAAGTACATGGATTTCAGTTATAGCAAACCAACGTTTTTCACTTCGTTATTTGTAATACTGCATTAATAGTGCATTCATACTGCAGAGTAAAGCTCAAGTTGATCTCAGCCTCACTGTGAATGACCTTGTCAATATCAACTGAAATTTTTATCGAAATGACTATTGAACTAATAAATGTTTTATTGCCCCTGACCTACTGGGTACCTCGGCTGTTACCTCTGAATGTAGATGGAAATAAATAATCCAATGTGAAGAATCTGTGTTGTATAAGAATATGGATGCTCTATGGACAAGCATATTCCTCTGTGCCACTTAGGCAAGGTGTAGTTAAAGGGAAATTCCATTAATTTGTAAAAAGTTCTGCATAATTTAGTCATTGGGATGTAAACAAAAGCATTGTGAGTGGCTTTAAAGAGTGATTTCTCCACAGTGGTGGTGATAGGAACCAGGGGTTGTGATGTCTACAACACAAATGTAACCATTTTATTTACTAGACAAAACAACCAGTAAACCTACATGTCTGAGTTTTCCAGTGTTATTGTTCTCAAAACAATCATTAAACAGTGTCTCAGGCATCAGGCAGTGAATTCATAACCATTTAATGTAGTAACTTTCTGTGAGGGAGCTTTTAGAGGTGGACATCTGGTTCCTATCACCACCACCCTGAACAATTCTGACTAAGTTTCTCTAGAACGGAGGATTTCACACCAAACCACTCTGAACGACTCTGTTTACATCATTATTATTAAATTGTGTAGAGGTTTTGAAAAATCTGTGGAATTTCCCTTTAAATGCTTTTAAGTGCTGAAGGTTTTGTAGAAAACAAAGACAGATCGTAACAATGAGAGGCAGAGGCTGTTAAAATATTCCTTTATCCCTATAGCTTTTCATTCACAGTCATGCTGAGTGATGTCCAGACTTTCTTCATGCAAAGCTCTGTTCCGCACACAGAGGGTACGGCGATCACATGACAAGTGAACTTGGCTGGCTCTGATTTACTCAATGATTTAAAAATAGACCCAAGTGCAGCAAATATTCCACTTCAGATGTCTATTTTTGGGAACTGCACGAAACTAGCATTTTTGAGTTGCGTAATTCAATTTTACATAATCTGGGTCAGGCAGGGCCTTGGCCAGGGACTTGTGGAGAGTCAACACATGGGCAGCAGAGATAGCAGATGTCCTGTCATTCCATTAAAACCTTTTATCCTGTTTCTCTGTACGTCTCAGAAGAGCCCTGGGCCAAAAATATAACATAGTGAAAGGAACAGCTTTAATGTATCCACGAAACAAGGTGGGTTAGCCAGGCTTAAAGGGGAATTCCACCGATTCTTCAAAATTTCTGCATGATTCAGTTGAGATAGAGAGATATAAACAGATATAAACAAAGTCATTCAGAGTGGTTTGTTGTGAAATGGTTCACTGCAGAGAAACAAACCATCTCAGATTTTTCTCCAGTGGTAGTGATAGGAACCAGGGATACCCATGTCTCCAACATAGAGTTATTCAGAGTGGTTTGATGTGAAGTGGGTCATTTATAGACAAGCTTACCAACTCAGATGTCTTTACAGTGGTGGTGATAGGAACCAGGGGTCTCCATGACTACAACACAAATATAGACATTTTATTTACTATCCAAAACTACCAGTGAACCTACACGAGTCTTCTGAGTTTATATATGTATGTCGACTATTTTGCCTTAGAACACCTTTCATGTATCCCTCCACCATGAATGGATCACATTAAATTGATTAAAATAGTTTTAGGCCAAAGCTACAGTAAATGTCTCAGGCATCAGGCTGAGTATTCATAATCATTTCATGTAATAACTTTCTGTGAGGGAGCTTTTAGAGGCATCAAACTCCTCAGACGTCTGGTTCCTATCACCACCACTGCGAACAATTCTGACCCGGTAAGTTTCTCCACAACGAAGCATTTCACACCAAATCACTCTGAATGATTGACTCATTGACTCGTTAACCATTTAATTAGGTAGAAATTTAGAAAAATTGGTGGAGTTCCCCTTTAACTTTAAAACAAAGGCACCACTTGTATGTACAGTGGTCAGAAAAAAGTATTTGGACATTTTAATTATAATTGTAAACTAATGAAGTTTATTTCATAAACTTTTTACCAAAAAGATGTTTCTTTCAGAGAAAAACACTCAGCACAAGATCAGATGGACGGCAGAGTAAAAGCCTAGAGAATCCAGCTATGCTGCAAAGCACAGAGCTGGAAACCTCAGTCTGGGGTTTTCTTACAATAGTTAAATTAACTATTTAACCTCTTCAACTCCTTGAGACCACCGGTGGTTCCAAAACGCACTTCGTCATATTCTTCATAACTTTCATATTTCATAAGCTACATTCTAAAGGTGGGGGGCATATGAGAGCTGTAACTGTCTTCTTTCCAGTCAAATAGATGGGTGATGTAATTTTAAAGCCTTATAATAAAAGAAGCTGAACTCAATTTTTTTTGTCTACTGAAAGTCGACCCATTTTTCCACAAATCTGGGCTATAAACTATAAACAGATGCAATATGTTTATGATCATAAAACACATGTTCTGTTATTTTGAGGGGAGCTTTTACAAAAAAAAATAAAATAAAATTGACATTTATTTCACGCAGTTACTGAATACTTTGCCTTATGATTTGGTCATGTAAATTCAGATGGACAAACCAAAAACATACCCTGGTCAATAAGAGGTTAAGATAATTGTGTACTTGGTTTGACGTTTGGTTTCCTCATAGAATGAGCTTCACGCAGTTTTAAGTATGGCCCAAATGTCCAAATGCTTTTGGGGGCTACTGTATACAGGGTGTCCCAAAAAAACTGACATCATTTGAGATGTGAATATCTGAGTAACTACATGTCGTAGGCAAACGATTCAGATTTTTTATATAGATTTTATAACCGATTTCACAAAGCTTCACAAATGTAAGATCTTCTGATACTGGTGGTCGTCCAGATCCCTTTGTCCTGCACAGACAGCCTTCCTCTTTGATTTTTTTGTGCCGTGTCCAAATCTGCTTTCCAGCTGGTGCATTTTTATTGAATTTCCTCAGAAATGCTCGCTGCACTCTTGTTTGACTGTGTTTGAGTATATTCTAACACACAAAATGATCATTTCTAGTGAACCCCATTCTTCAACCTGATAAAAAAACATTAAAAATTAATCTTGGTTAGCTTTTACACATTTTGTTCAAATCTGAGATCATTTGAGGGAGAATTTTTTGGGGACACCTGTACATTCTTCTGAGATTAATTGTCAAAACGCTGGAAAAGTTAATAATTTTCATGTAATCTGGATTTTCAGCTCATTACTAAAGCTCAGACGAAGCTTGCTCTGCGTATTCAGATAAAAACGTGTCGAAATAATTTGCATATAAAGCATTTAAAAAATGAATCACTCGAGTTTCAGCCCAGACTTTTCTACAAAGCGTAGTGGAATGTATTTTTTTCCAAGACGTTTCGCGTCACTACGGTGGCCCTCTCTGATTGGCCGCGCTCGCTGCCAATCACGCCCAGAAGGCGGGGCGAGCGGCCGTACGGATCGTGACGCGACTGCTGTGATGCAAAGGTTAGAAAAAGGAGAGGAAAAAAAAGAAAGGAAAAAAAAACTTGTTACAAGATGGCGACGAAGAACTGCCAGTACACTGGAAAACAATAGAAACGGCAGCAACGGAGCGGAGTTTTATCCTGTTCGGCGCTGCGGTTTCCTTTTCGTCGCCGGCCGGGGACCTGCCGCCGCGGCCCGCGGGGCGAGCGACTTCTGAGAGGCGCTTAACGGAGCGAGAGTGATTTTCATCCCGCTTTTGTTATGAGGCGAGTTAGCTTAGCCCGCTAGCCCGCTAGCCCGCTACATCCGTAGCTTCGCTCAGCGCCGTCCAGCGACCCGAGCTTCAGCACAGCGGATCAGCTGTTAGCCAGCTAGCTGTTTAAAAAAGTTTCTAAAAGTCGGCGAGCTCGAGTTTTAATCCGCACGGCTATGATATGCGAGGTTTTTTCGCTTTCTCGGGATTTCTTTTAACGCGGTCGCCGTTTCTGCCTCAGAAATGTACCTCGTTTCGAAGTTTTGTTTGAAAGTCCACTCGCGAGTGAGTGGCTAGCTTAGCCCGCTGAGGTACGTTTTTGGAAACGTAGGTAATCGTCCGTTAAAAAAAGCTGAAGAGGCGAGCAAACTTCTGTACTTTTTCTTTGCTTTTCCTACAAGCCGCACACGTTCGCTGTGGTGATTTTAGTTCGGTAGCGTTAATTATGTGGAGCTTACCGCTGTTTCGAGGCTAGCTAACCTAGTTAGGCACAAAACATCGAAGTTTAATCCGCGCTGACCGAGTTTGCTCAGCTCAGCCCCGTGAGTGAAAGTTTTTGAAGAGTCCAGTTGGGCTAAAGGGTAGTTTGGGCTAACACACACTGCCGTCCGCCAAAGTCAAGCCAGTAAACCGTACTTACGGCTGTGTGATCTTCTTTTTTAAACTCTATTTTTAAAAGAGTCGCGGAGGTTTTTTTTTACATATCATGGCTGGTAGCTTAACTTCTACCATCATTATGCCCTGCTTGTTGGTGAAGTTGGTCCTGGGGCCTCACTTTGCGCTTCGTTATTTGCTTTCCGAGTAGACTGACTTGGTAGATTAAGTCACTTTTTTGGTTGTTCATCGCTGCTGTTAAGAATAGTCAGTGGAAAAAAAACAACTTTGATTTGTGGTTTTGTTGCACGGACAGGCAGTGATTTGTATAGATAAGGTAACGCGCCGATGTGCGTCTAACTAAACTGGCCAGCATTTAACGCCAGCCCGCTAAACTATGTTCGGATCTCTTTTGCTGTGGTGAAGCACTAGTCGGCAAATATTGACAAAAATGGAGGCAGTCGAGTGTGTTTTGTAAAGGCAGAGTAGGAGGGGGTGAATAGTCGCCCACACAGCGAAGGAAAGCAGCAGAATCAGCAGTACAACTTGCTTGTATCCGGAGCTCTGCTGACTTAAAAGAAGGGAAAAAAGCTCCACCACCACCACGCTGCTCCGTAACGATGGCGGATTTCGTGGTGCCGCGCCACAGCGCGGTGATGGAGCGGCTCCGCCGGCGCATCGAGCTCTTCAGGCGGCACCACAACAGCTGCGAGAACCGCTACGAGGGCACGGCAGTGGAGCGCATGGAGCTGGAGAGACAGCAGACTTTCGCGCTGCACCAGCGTTGCCTGCAGACCAAGGCCAAGCGCTCCAACAAACACCGGCAGCAGGGGCCGGCGGCTGCGGCCAGCGAGCAGGCGGGGCAGAGGGCACCTGGCACAGTGGGGACGAACACCGAGTTGCCGGAGGGCGGCGGGGCGCCTGGAGAACAGAGCAGGAACAGCACTCTGATTGCGGTGAGTCTGGAGTACATTGTGTTTATTCGTGTGCATCAGTGGTTCCACATCCTGGTCTTGGAGTACCCTGCTTTTTTCAGTGTTCCCAGACCTAACACAGTTTAATTTCCCATCAACCTGCATAACGTGAAGGAGAATGTTGATTCCATTTTCTCCTGTTTGCGTGACTTGATTTATGTCTTGCTTAGGGTATCTGAGGAAATATCACCCTGAGCCAACTAATCAGCTAATTAACGAGAGTTGAAGTGGGTGTATAACACTAAAATGTGCAGGGCTGGGCTACCCCAGGACCAGGACTGGTGACCACAGATGAGCACACTGTGAAAATAGATTAGACCAGGCCAGGGAAGGCAGCAGGTCCTTGCATGGGGCTTTTTGAATGCAGCAGCCACCAACCAACGTGTAGATGAGCTCAGACAGGCGTGCTTGGTGATCCCACAGTCATATGACCTCAGCGTTGTTGACCATGCCGAATACCCGTTGATGGGCCAGTCTCTCGAAACAGTGGTCACACACTCACAGAGGCAGCTGTGGGTTTAGAAAAGCGATAGGAATTTGCCATTTATCTAAAACTTCTGTTACATTTTTACTTTCACTTTAGGAGATTTTAGCATGCAGATAGAAGCGACCTCTCACCGCAACCATTTGTTGTCAACTTCTGAAAACATGAGAACAGCAGTTTCCTGCAGTGAACTCGTAACACTGCAGCCTGACAATGCCAGCTTAGACTGTGCCTTATGATGACGACTCATGCTTCAATCAATCAATCAATCAACCTTTATTTAAACTCACGATACATTGAGGGAGACCCTGAATTGCAGTGTAGCCGAGCAATACAGAAATCAATTGAGAATTTGGGTCGTAAAAGGAAATCAAATGTTATAATAATGTAAAAAATCAATAGTAAAATTTAATAATAAGAAGCTGTCATTGAACCGTTAAATCGATAAGCCAATATAGTGACTTAATAAGTGCAGAACAGATAAGAATAACATTAGTAATAACATAAATTGATCAAGTAGAAGATTTAAGACAATAAACTGACAATAATACAATACATTAAAAGGTAAAATATGTAAAAAGAATACTAATAAAATGAATAAAAAGAATAAGTAAAACTATAAGACATAGCTAAAAATACTCAGCTCATATTAATACGTAATGTGTTAATTACATGGCTTTGCTTTGTCCCTTGTACAGCGGTGGAATAGTTTAGTGTAGAGAACATATTAATCTCCTGTTTATTGAGTCATTTATCAAATTGACAGGCCACTGTCGTGGGCTACGTTCGCAGGTTAAGCAGGGCAGCAGTGTCAGACTGCTTCGCTGGCCATGTGATGTTATGACACAGCAGCAGAATACCCCTTTTTAAGTTCACGCAAAGTGTTGAGAAAGGAAAGTGATGCGGTTCTGAAGGATGAGCCAAGTGTTAATATGTGTAGGAACCTAATGAATTGTTTCTAGTGAGCAGACCTTTTTGAAAGGTTCTGCAGACATTTCTTCTCAGAATCTAGTCACCATGACTGTTCAGTCAACTGTGCTTTGAGTCGTTAATCAGTCGGTCTAGCAGGTATGAGCTCAAGTACTCGACTGACCGAATGCTTTCCATGCATCCTAGTCAGCTAAGATGCCGGAAAATAGAGAAAATGAGATGGCATGATGCAGCTTTTCCCTCTGATACTAGTAGAGATGTTGAAACCTTGCTTGTCGGCTGATATTGATCCAATATTTTTCCTTTAAAAACCACTGTGCGTTAAATTGAAGCGTTTTACTAAGAGAATCATCTGAAAGTAACCTGTCTTGCTCTTAACTATGCAACCACTCTACTACCTCACAGGAAGAAATACACCGCTGACGTCACGTGGGGTGTGTGTGTGTGTGTGCGTGCTATTTCAGGCTAGATTTGATACAGGACTGTACCGGATTCATTCTTCATAGAGTCTGGAACAGCCTTTACAGGAAGAAGCCATGTAATTAGCATACAAATCAACCCATCACAAAACAAAGTGGTTGACCGTGTGCCCACGTTAAACAAAACTCTTGAATAACTTTCAATCCAGTAACTATGTTTTGCTCCGAAAGGTTTGTTGTTGTCACCATGTGCAGAGCAAGGACTCCGCATGCTGAGAAACTAGATGATGATAATTATTTATTTAATGCAGTAATTTTCATTAGTAATACTTTTTAAATCAGCAGTCAACAGGCCAACTCTGCTTGATATAATTTTAAATTAATAAAAAAATTCATGCAGACTTCAGGCTGTTATTTTAAATTTCCGAGTACCTGCTGTTCTTTTGATTGCTAGTTCTTTTTATGCTCAAGTACTCAATTGAGCATAAATTAGTCTATTTTTGTTTGATTTTAAAGTATTTTCTGATTTCGTTAGACTTTATTAGCAGTAGGATCTGTTGGTACACACAGCTTGTTAGTAGATGATGGCCTGAATTTATCATGACACAATTTATTCAGTGAAGAAAAATCTGACAAGGCGCTGAGCCCTTAAATGTCTGAGTGAACAGTACTGTTAAAATACTGACACATTAAGGAAACAGCCTAAAGGGCGTCCAGGCCAGAGCAGTACAGTCACAGAACGTGATCGGTGTGGTGCGGTTCCAGGTCAGAAGCCGACAAAGACCAGAAACAGGAGGTGTAAATTATATCACGATATTTAGATTCCAACAATAACGTTTCGAATGGCCTCTGAAACACGTGGGCTTTGCAAAGCCACGGGATTTAGGCCCAATCCCGTTTCACTCCTTGCCCCTCCCACTTAGCCCTTAGCCCTCCGTTTTGCTCATTCACGTCTAGGGGTCGGGTGTCCCAATTCTTGTTGAGATAGAGGGGCGGGGCGGAGTGTTAGGGCTACAGAAAACCGGCAAGATGGCTGCGCAAGCGACCAAAGAAACCCACAAATGTGAGAATTTTCTCAGTTAAAAATTCTGACGACCATTGTTTTATCTAAGTTTAATGTGGTTTCAGTGTATTATGGTCCTTTTCTCATAACAAGCATAAAAAATTGCTAATAGCATGCTAATGTCTCGTAGCTAGCTAGCTAACTTTCCCATTCCACCTTAAATAGTCCAGCAGTTCTGACGCCTGAAGCGCCAGAATGTAACTGCTGCACCATTTAAGGTGGAACGGGAAAATTGAACAAGAAGCTGGTGAATATCTGACTTCAGCTTCATATCACTGAAGAATTAGTGGTGGGTGATAATAAATAATTGCCCCCCTCTTTGAAGGCATATGATTCCCTAAATGTTACTAAAGCCCAGCAGTGAGGAGCTGAACTTTACCCTCCTCTGCTGTCACTGCAGACTGGCAGGGTCGCCTACAGAGCAGCGCTGGTAGCTGTTAATGAAGTGATGCTCTTTTTATTTGAGGGTCCCATTTTGTAGGAGAAGATTTCAACCACTACCTTGTAACTAACTCATTTCCAAGGGCCAATGAGACACTCAAAAACAAGGGGCAGGGGTGAAAAATGAGAAATTGGATTGGGCCAAAGGGTTAACTGTTTACGTTCGCTTAAACAATGCTTGATGACAAGTTGTTAAAACTGAATTTATTGTTAGAAATACCCACATTTGAAAAGGCAGTACTTATTTAGGTTCCGTTGTGGTTCACCAAAGTTTGTAAACAGCTGAGTTTGTCTCTCTCTAACACACCAAATCTTTATCAGTTGGCAACTTCTCTGAACACCATAAGCTTGGTTTTGTTTTTTGGCTGCATTGTGCTCTTCCAGCTCGTAGGGGTGTAAATTACCAGAACTTGGCAGCAAGCTATGAAATCTCGATTACATTTGCAGTATAAATGGATATTAGCTTGAGAGGTGAAAAAAAAATTAAAGCATCTTTAATTTTGCTAGAAAAAAGACTTTTGGCCCTCATACTTGACACATTGCAGTGTAATTAAATGGACAGTGAAGCAATTTTTATTGTGTTGGTTCAGGATTCCAGCACACTGGAATTGAAATGAAGCAATGGGCCTCATTCGCCAGTATAATTCAACAGTAGGTTTTTTCTTTATTTCAGTAGTCAGTTCAGTATTTGCAGTAGTCATAGTCCTTTTTATACATAGCCCCCCCCCATTTCAAGTGGCAGTTGTCCGCTTAGTTGTTTCTTGGTCATTACTAGGGATGATCAGCCAAATCAAGTAATTTAGGGTTTGAGCTGATCTTGGTAAAATTAGCATCACTGTAATATGAAATATCGGAATAATTTAATGAGAGCCAGAAGTGTGTCACAGTCAAATGTTTGGAGCATTAAGAGCTCACCGGTTAAACAGTCAACAACCTGATGAACCACAGAAAAACCACAGTACTGAATAACAGAAGACTGCTTGAAGTCATCAAGACAAGCTGTTGAACATATCAAAAATACTTGACATTTTTGGCATAGACTAAAAAAAAATATCAGAGATTAAGAAAAGATCTGTACAACCTCAGATGGTTTACCACAAGACATAAACCTCTCGGAAAACCTCAAGTACAGAAAGGGCAGATTGCAGCTTGATGAAAAGAACGTGAAAACCCAATCCCATTTCACCCCTCGCCCCTACCACTTAGCCCTCTGTTTTGCGTGTCTAGGGGTAGGGCGTCCCAGTTTTTGTTGAGATAGAGGGGTAGGGCGAAGTGTTAGGGCTGCATGGCCCTCCAAACTGAGGTTTATCAGAGACTCCAAACAGTGATATGAGAAGAAAAAGAAAAACTGGCAAGATGGCTGCTCAGGAGATCAAAGAAACCCACAAATGTGAGAATTTTTCTCCATTAAAAAATTACGAAAACCATTGTATTTATCTTAGTTTAATGTGGTTTCAGTGTGTTATGGTTGTTTCCTTCATAACAAGCATTAAAAATTGCTAATAGCATGCTAATGTCTCTGTAGCTAGCTCGCTTACTTTCCCGTTCCATCTTAAATAGTCCAGCAGTTCTGACACCTGAAGTGCCAGAATGTAACTGCTGCACCATTTAAGGTGGGACGGGAAAATTGAACAAGAAGCTGGGG